AAAACACTGTCTGGTCCTGCACCATCCTTACAATACTTGCTATGCTTGAGCCCATCATCGCAGCCAATGTGTCAATCCATCTTATTGAGGATTTCCCCTTTTTCATTGACCCTCTACTTTACCAAGTGTGATATCCTTCTCTAGGGAATGGTCCCTTCTGACAATATGACCAAAGTAGGTGAGATGAAGTCTGAACATTCTTACTTCTAAGGAGTATTCTGGCTGTACTTTTTCAAAATAAATTTTATTGTGGTTTGGGTGAAAGTTTACAGAACAAATTTATTTTCCATACAGTTGTTCATGCACATTTTGTTTCATGATGTTCACTGCAATTCCCTACAACGTAACAGCTCTCTTCCCACTTTCTCCCCATAGTTACCTCTTCCCTGTGTCTTTCCCTCCCATGCAGTGCTGGCCCCTGAGCTTTCTCCCTGTGCAAACACTGCCCTTTTGTTCTCCCACGATCAATCCCTCCAAGGAGTGTATCTACCTGATGTAAATGTCCACTCCATATTGCCTGTCTGTTGTTTGGCTGGAAGCCACAGAATTGAGTTCAATTCCAAACCTGAAGGGTAACTAGGGTCCATAGTCTCAGGGGTCTCACCAGGCTCTATCAGACCAGGAAACACGGTTTCTTTCTTTTCTTTTCTGATTTCCAGTTTTGTTCCACATTGTTCTCCTGCTTTACCCAGGATCTCCTATACCAATGCCCCTCTGAGTGGTTGACAGTGGTCCAGCAGCACTTGTTGCAGGACAGATTTATTTGTTCTTCTGGCATAAAATTTCCCAGTGATATATCAGACAGTGCTTCACTGCTATTCATAACGTTTTCAATGACCAGTCTATTCAGAAGTAGATGTATCCATCCTTCTTCCTGGTTTGTCTTAGTCTGGAAGCTCCACTGAAACCTGTCCACCATGGGTAATTCTGCTGGTACTTTAAATACTGGTGGTATAGCTTCCAGCCTTACAGTAACATGCAAGCTACCACAGCACAACAAACTGAGAGAAGAGTGGTGGCAAAGTATTTATGGATCCTCCTAAAAGCCATCCAAGGACTTTCAGGTTAAGAACAACTGTTAGACCTCAGCATAGTCCTGAGTTTGTATTTCTAATACATATAATAAATAATCCTTATATTTATGTGGATAAGCACTTGCATATCCATTATATTTGACCTTTCCTGTAAGGCATTTGGCTGCTAACCAGAAGGTAGGCAGTTCAAACCCATCAGCTGCTTCATGAGAGAAAGACGAGGAAATCTACTTCTGTAGAGATTTACAGCCTGGGAAACCCAGTGGAGATCTCTATGAGTTGGAATTGACTTGAAGGCAGTGGGTTTTTTGTTGTTGTTGTTTTGCTTTTTATAATCCAGTGAAGTTAAGGGCTGAGATTTTATAATAGATGAAGAAGCAGAGGCTCATGCATTTTAAGCAACCTGCCTAATCACGGTTTTGCATATTTAAGACCTACCCCTCCTATGTCCTGATCAGCGAAGTGAGATAACTCATTTGTGATTGAGGGCCTCAGAAATTTGTTGCCTTTTCCAGGAATTTTGATCATGTAGCATAGTGCCTAAGGCACTTGACTGCTAACCAGAAAGCTGGCAGTTCAAACCCACCAGCCACTCCTTGGAAGGAAGGTTGGGCAATCTACTTCCGTAGTGATACTGCCTCGGAAACCCAAGGAGGGGTCGCTATGAGTTAGAGCTGACTCTACGGCACACAACAACAACAACAACATAATGGCAATTACAATATTAGCCAAGGTTTAGAAAAACAAAATAAGTACAAACTTTTCAGTGGGTTGAATGGTAGAAACCTAAAGCCAATTAGATTAAATCAGAGGCAGTGCAATGCAGAAATGGAAGGAGACTGTAGTGCTACCTCCACAGGCCTAATTGGCCTCTGGGGTAAACATGAAGCATAAATATGGTGCTTTTAATTTGTAGTTCCCAAACTGTGGTTTTAATTTAGAGATCTCTTTTCAATGACTTTTCTAAAGTCACTTTTCTCTCTTGGACAAAAGACGAGGACCCCTAATAGTGCACTGATTAAGCAGCTCAGCTGCTGATTGAAAAAAAAGGTCCATAGTTCAAATTGTGATCTGCTCCTGTAAAGACTACAGGCTTAGAAACCCTATGAGGCCAGAACACTCTGTCCTAGAGCACCACTGTAAGTCAGAATCAACTCATTGGTACAGAACAACAAAGATCTGTACCTTACTTTCTAATTTAGAAATATTTTCCAACTTATAAGGAAGTTACAGGAATAAGAATATTATATAAAACAGTCATACACCCTTAATCTATATTTACCTATTGTTAACATTTCAGCCCGTTTGCTTTATCATTTGTGCTCTATCTGTCTACTTATATAAATTTGGTGAAATATTTATATTTCATGTATGTTTATAGGTAGTACCAATACCTCTCATTCAGAGGGTTCTTTCCTACTTTCTTTATTCCATATTTGTACCTTCCCTACTTTCATAGTGAAAACCCTGTTCCCCAACAATATCCCCCTATTTACTTATTTGCTAAATCCTATAATATATCCAAAGAGCTCTGGTGGTGCAGTGCCTAAGGCATTTGACTTCTAACCAGAAGGTTAGTGGTTCAAACCCAGCTGCTCCATGAAAGGAAGCTGGGACAGTCTACTTCTGTAAAGGCTTGCCGCCTTGGAAACTCAATGGGGCTCACTATGAGTTGCAATCTGTGGCAGTAGTTTTTTGTTTTTTCATATCTAATATAATTTCAGAATTGCTTCACCTGTTTTAGTACAGAAAATAAAACCAGTAAAAAGAGTTCAGGATTTTTTGAAATTCTCTTCACCATTCCACCCAAGATGGAAGGTATATAGTCAAATCCTGTCTTCATACGTTTCTTGCATTTTTTCCCTTCCTTTCTGGTAGCATAGTGCCTAAGGCACTTGACTGCTAACCAGAAGGCTGACGGTTCAAACCCACCAGGCACTCCTTGGAAGGAAGGTTGAACAATCCACTTCCACGGTGATATTGCCTCAGAAACCCAAGGAGGGGTTGCTATGAGTTGGATCCAACTCCACTGCAGTGTGTTTGGTTTGGTTTGTTTTTTTTCTCCATCAATATTGTTTTTTTATTGACTTGAAGAATAGTTTGGACCATTCCATTTTTATTTCAGTTGCTTTATTCCCATCTTTGTTAATTTTAGTTTTTGATTATGTTTGAATATGTTGATATGCTTCCGACTATCAAAACTATACAAAAATGGAATTCTCATAGAAGTGCCACTCCCTCCCATATCCTTCCTACTAGATTCCCTCATATCCTTTTAGGTTCTCAATTTAATTGTTTTGTGGTTATCCTTTCTGTGCTTTTTATTTTAGAGATAAACAAATATATGTGTATTATTTCCCTTTCTGTCTTACATAAAAGGTAACATAGTATATTTGTTCTTTCACAGTTTGCCTTATTCACTTAACAATATCTCCTGGAAATCATGCCTTTTCATTCCTAGAGATCAGCCTTGTTCTTTTAACAGATGCATAATACTCCAATGTGTGGATGTACCATAGTTTAGTCATCCAATTTCCTATGTTTGGACACTGAGGTAATTGTGAATATTTTGCAATTACCAATAATGTTGCTATTAATAACCTTGTGCATATGCATTTTATATTGTTTGATGATGTGTGTCTTCAGGATAAATTCCTAGAACTGTGATTATTGGGTTGAAGGATAAATGTATATGTACATTCAATTTTGTTTGCAATTTTGATAGATATTGCCAAGTTTCTCTCAATAGCCATCTAGATTGTCTAATGCTGCTATAAAAGAAATACCACAAGTGGATAGCTTGACAAACAAGAATTTATTCTCTTACACTTTAGGAGGCTAGAAGTCCAAGTTCAGAGTGCCAGCTCTAGGGGCTGGGTGAAGGCCCCTTGACCTTCACTCAGAAAGAAAGCTCTGCCTCTTATTCCAGGCCCACTAGAGATAGAGACATCTCCTAACTCAGGCAGCTGCTGGCTGCTGAGGCTGACAAACCCAAGGTTGGCAGGTAAAATGGCACAATCCTAAGATTAGTAGGCAACACAGCAGGCCTCTGGTTCAAGACCAGGAACTAAAGATGAAGACTCAGCCAAATGCAGGATCCAGATGTGCCAAAAAGCTAAAGACTATCTCAAAGCTTCTCCATATGCATTAGAAGCAAGCCACTACAGAGGCAGCTCTCCTTCAACTGATCAACTGCTCATAGGAAATCCCACCATGGAGGTGATTGCAGTCTCATTGTAAGGAATAAGCACATCCAGCTGCCAAACTACTCAAAACCATGGCCAGTCCAAGCTGAAACACAACCTTAACTACCACAATAGCTATTCTATCATTTTGCATGCCCCTCCCCCCAGCCCCTGGAGAAATGTATGAGATTGCCTTGACCTGGAAAGCAGAGTGTATTGTCAAGCTTCAGAATATTTGCCATTCTAATGGGTCATAGATGGTATTTCAGTGTACCTTTAATTTTAATTTCTTTCATTTTGAGTGAAGTTGGAGGACCTCTCCTTTTTAAAAACAGAAAATAGCTAAAATAGCTCAAAATACAAAGGTGCTGGTAAAGAAAAGATTTTGCTTACATTTGACCATTCTTACCCTTTGACAGCCTAAGAGCTTCAGCCAGTAGAAGATGATCCATCTTATCCCTGTGGGGAATAGGAACTTCCAAACCCAAAACCAAGCCCACTACCTACAAGTTGATTCCAAATAATAATGACCTTAGAAGACAGAGTAGAACTGTCCTATAATATTTCCAAGGCTGTAAATTTTTACAGAATCAGACTGTCACATCTTTCATGGAGTGGCTAGTGGGTTCAAGCCATCAATCTTTTGGTTAACAGCTGAGTGTTTTAACCACTGCCCACCAGAGCTAGCTAATAGGAACTTACTGATACTTAAAAAAGCTTTTTTTTTTTTTTTTGTACAGCTGTGTCTTTACATTTTCTCTTTCTCTAATGATACATCTAGGTTGGCCAGGTTCATGGTGGACTGATGGGAATTATTCAGAGAGCCATGGTCAAAGCTTGTCCACATGTCTGGTTCGAACGTTCAGAAATGAAGGATCGACACTTGGTTACTAAGAGGTAAGCAGAAAGATTACTCAGTTCTCACTGGAGTACAATGAAAGCTTATTACTCTTGTCCTTCATTTCAAAAAAAGGAGGAGTAGCATCTAAAGATTAAAACTAAAACATGGAGCTCTATTTGTGGCTGAATTTTTCTGATGAATCATCTGTCTCAGATAAAGTTTTAAACATTTTCATTCCATAGCCATAGTGAGATATACAATGGAATTGAAAGGCCCCTGAGTGTATGTTACTGTTACTTAGGTATAGTCTTAAAAAAAAAAATGCACTGCCTTCAAGTCGGATCCAATTCATAGCGACCCCTCCTTGAGTTTCCGAGGTGGTATCACTACAGAAGTAGATTGCCCAACCTTCCTTCCAAGGAGTGGCTGGTGGGTTTGAACCACCAGCTTTCTGGTTAGCAGTCAAATGCCTTAGGTACTACACCACCTCAAGTTAAAAATATACATTAAAATTTAAATAATTGATAAATGTTTCTAGAGTAAATAGGTGGTTGGTGAAGTATTTGCTGAATGAGTGCTATCACTTAAATCCAGCTAGAGGCAGAGCTAATGCTCTTTGTGGAACAGAGAGGAGACCCTGGAGGTGTAGGGCAGAGATAAACGCGAGTTATCAGAAAATATTGTGGAAAAATAATGTTTCTTTTTTTTCTTTGCCTCAGATGATTAACTGAAAGCACTCTGGTTATTGCTTCTATACACAACACACCTAAGCTCTTAAAAGTAAAATGAAAAGTACTTGTGAAATCTGCTTAAAGTTAGCAAAACTGTCCCTCATCCTGGATTATTCAGTAATGGGGCACTCTGGCCAACGAAGCCCTTCCAAAACAAGTTACCATTGAGTTGACTCAGACTCATATGACCTCAAGTGTATCAGTAGAACTGTGCTCCTTAGGGTGTTCAATGGCTGATTTCTTATAAGTCGATCACCAGGCCTTTCTTCCTCGGCACCTCTGGATGTACTTGAGCCTCCAACCTTCTGGTTAGCAGCCAAACACATTAACCATTTGCACCACCTAGGCATTGGAACCTCTCTACCCCAGCCCTTCCAGCTTCCTGTTTGCAGTGTTGGTAATATACTGCTGGCTCCAAGGTGAACAGGATCTATGCCTGGGCTTCAGTAATTCTGAGCTTTCTGGTGTGTATTTCATAAGAAGGTTCAGTCTGACTCATTTATGGAGCATAGTAACTTATAAAAAGTAGTAATATAGCTAATGTATGTAGAGTATGAAGGATACCAGAAAGACTAAGGTAAAATTTTCATCTTTTATTGCTCTTCACAGACTAAAGGAACACATTGCTGATAAGAAGAAGTTACCTATATTAATCTTTCCTGAAGGTAAGAATAGGGACTGCCTATCAAGCTATCGTTCATAACAACAACCACCACCAAAACAGTGTGTGAGGATTATAATTACTCTAGAATTGGCATTCTTAGTCCTGACTCTCTGATGTGCTACCGGAATGGACTATCCTTCTCTAGACTATTAATTACCCACTTTTTTTTTTTTTTTAAATCAACAACAATTTTTTAACTTGTGATTGTGGGGAAAGTTTACAGAGCAAATTGGTTTTCCATTCAGCAATCCATATGCATTCTGTTTTGTGACATTCACAGCAATCACTACAATGCAACAGCACTCTTCCCACTTCCTCCCCACACTCACCACTTCGCTACATCCTTCCTTCGCATTCTTTCCAGCCTTCCTAACTCTGTCCCTGGGCATATGCTGCCCTCTTGGTCTCATGTGGTTGATTGTTCTAATGTATGCATACCCTCCTGGTATCACTGTTCACCTTATAGTCCTGTCTGTCATTTGGCTGAAAGTTGAACCATGAGGGTTGAGTTCAGTTCCTGGCTTGAAGGATGTGATGTCTAAGGGACACAATCTTGGGGGTTCTACCAGTCTTCATCAGGTCAGTAAGGCTGGTCTTTTTTTAAAAAAATAATTTTCAGTTTTGTTGCACATTTTCCTCCCACTCTATCTGTTGTTGTTGCTATGTGCCGTTGAGTCGGACCCGACTCATAGCAACCCTCCTTGGGTTGCCAAGGCAGTATCATTATGGAAGTAGATTGCCCAACCTTCCTTCTGAGGAGTGGCTAGTGGGTTTGAACCGCCAGTCTTCTGGTTAGCAGTCAAGTGCCTTAGGCACCATGCTACCCATTCTATCTAGGACCTCCTATTTTGATCCCTTTCCAAGTGGTCAGCAGTGGTAGCCAGCTACAATTTAGTTATTCTGGTCTCAAGGTCATGGCGGCTGGGGTTCATGTGGTCCGTTAGCTCTTTGAACTAATTGCTTCCTTATGTCTGATTTTCTTCACTCTTCTTTGCTCTGGATGGGAAGAAACCAATAGGTGCACCTTAGATGGCTACTCACAGGCTTTTAAGAACCCAGTTGCAACTCATCAAAGTAGGATGTAGGACGTTGTTTTTGTGGACTGTGTTCTGCCAGTTAATTGACTTAGTGTCCCCCAAGATGATGGTCCTGAGCCCCCATGTCCAGTGACTTATTCCACAAAGTGTTGGTAGTTATGACTAAGAACTTTTCATAACTCTGTCCCTGAAGGCTCTACTACATTCATAGATACTTTTGCAGCATATATAAATACATAGGTAGAGAAAGACTCTGTAAAACCTATATACATTTGCAGGCTCATTCACCTTCTCACCCCTGTTCAGCTCTAGTGTTTATCTATGTATCCACTTGTAGTTTTTTTTTTTTTTTTTTTTAATCTTTAACTTTTTATTGTGATTTGGGTGAAAATTTACAGAATAAATTCCTTTTCCAGTGAACAGTTCCTACACATTTTGTTTCATGAGATTCCCACTTCCTCGGTGTGGTTACCTTTGCCCTGTGTCTTTCTTTCCTATGCATTCCTGTCCTCTGAGCTCTCTCCATAAGTGAATGCTGTCCTTCCAATTTTCAATGGTTGTTTGTTCTGAAGAGTGCACTAACCTAGTGTAATTGTTCACCTCTTAGGCCTGTCTATTGTTTGGCTTAAAGTTAAGCCATGGGAGTGAGTTCAATTACAGGCCTGAAGGGTGACTAGGGGCCAAGTTTCACCAGTCCCTGTCAGACCTGTAAGCCTGGTCATTTTTATGATTTTGAGTTTTATTCCACATTTTCTTCCCACTCTATCCAGGCCCTCCTATTGTGATCCCTTTCTGGCTTCTTGTAGTACTGTTACCAGTGCTGTTGCAGGGTTGTGTGTGTAAAGGATGCACCTTTGCTGCCCTTAGCTCTTGTGCTCCTACCTGTTTCTTCCACTGCCTTGATCATTTTGTGCTGACTTTTCTTTTGATAGAAGTAACTGCACATTTTTAAAACATTTTACTTGTTATTTCTGGATAATAAACCTACAAAGTTATTGTCCCTAACTTTTTAAGCATCCTTACTTTAAATCTTAGGAAATTGTGACCCGTTGTGAAGAAGTGTTCAATAGTAAAGTAAGAGCTTTCTATTAAACCTGCTTAGCCAGCCACCCCTCAGAAGGAAGGCTAGGCAATCTACTTCTGTAGTGATACCACCTTGGATTCGACTTGACAGCAGTGGGTTGGTTGGTTGGGTTAGGTAGATCTGTTAGGATTACTCTTAAACAGATATTGAATTAGGAAATGGCAGCAAAATGTCTGTAAATCTGCTATGATTTGAATATATAAATTATTTTCTATCAATATAATTCCTTTGAATATGTACTTTTAAAAAATGACTGCCTTTAAAGTATTCACCTTGCACTCTCTCCCCAACCCCCTCCAGGAACTTGCATCAACAACACTTCAGTCATGATGTTTAAAAAGGGAAGCTTTGAAATTGGAGGAACTATACATCCAGTTGCAATTAAGGTAAAACTGATACCCCTCTCCATTCATAAAAATGTGCCTTGGTAACTTTTTATTTTGATCTAATTTCAAACTTAAAAGTTGTAAGAATTATAAAAGGAATACTTTCAGATGCTTTCCTCAGATTCACCAGTTGTTTACATCTTGCCCCATTTGTTTTATCATTCTCTCTATATAGATATATGTGTGCATATGTCTGTTGTTGTTGTTGTTGTTGTTGTTGTTATGTACCGTCGAGTTGGACCTGACTCATAGTGACCTGTCCCTGGGTTTCCGAGGCAGTATCACTACAGTAGATTGCCCCATCTTCCTTCCGAGGAGTGGCTGGTGGGTTTGAACCGCCAGCCTTCTGGTTAGCAGTCAAGTGCCTTAAACACTAAGCTAGCAGAGCTCCTGCATATGTATGTATTTGTATATGTATATGAATATAGACAGATAGATATAGATATGTACTGTATGATTGTGTGCCAGGTTTTTTTTTTTTTTTTTTAATATTATGATTTGGGTCAAAGTATACAGAGTAAATTCACTTTCCATACAGCAGCTCACATACACTTTGTCTCATGACATTGACTGCAATTTCCCACAATGCAACAGCTCCCCTCCCACTTCCTCCCCATAGTTACCTCTTCCATATGTCCTTCCCTCCATGCATTTCTGGCCCCTGAGCTGTCTTCCTGTGCATACATAGCCCTTCTATTCTCCCATGATTGTTCTCTCCAAGGAGTGTACCTACCTAATGTAACTGTTCAGCTCATTTGCCTGTCTTTTGTTCCTGGGTTCAATTCCAGACCTGAAGGGCAGCTAGGGGCCATTGTCTCAGTGGTTCCACCAGGCTCTATCAGACCAGCAAACCTGGTGTGTCCCCCCCCTTTTTTTTTAAATAATGATTTTGAGTTTTATTCCACATCGTTCTCCCATTCTATCCAGGATCTCCTGCATAGATCCCCCTCCGAGTGGTTGCCAGTGGTAGCCAGGCACCATCTAGTTCTTCTAGTTTCATAGTCGTATAGGATGGCATGGTATACCAGTCACTTGGGTTAATTGTTTCCATGGATCTTTAGTTTTCTTCATTCTTCTTTGCTTTGGATGAGGAGAAAACCATCATTGCATCTAGATGGCTGCTTGCCAGCTTTTAAGATCCCATTCACAACTTGCCAAAGTAGGATGTGGAATAATGTTTTTGTGTAGTATATTATGCCAATTGAGCTTGGTGTCCCCTGCGACTATGGTCCTGAGCCCGCAGGTCCAACTACCTGCTCCCTCTAGGTAGCTGGCTGTGGCCAAGAAGTCACTACAACCTTGTCCCTTGTCAGCTCTACTATATACTTGATTGTGTGGCAGGTATTGTTTTAAGTACTCAGGATACAATGATAAGCAAAACATAGTTCTGGTAGCATAGTACATAAGACACTTGACTGCTAGCCAGGAGGCTGGTGGTTCAAACTCACCAGCCACTCCTCAGAAGGAAGGTTGGAAAATCTACTTCCATAGTGATACTGCCTCAGAAACCCAAGGAGGGGTCTCTATGAGTCGGGTCTGACTCGACGGCACATAACAACAACAACAACAACAACAACAACTTACATAGACCTTCAGGTTAAATGGGGAGACAGATATCAACACTGTCACTGTATTCTGTAACCCTATTGTTACAACCATGACCAGTAATATGGAACTCTAAGTATAAAAGCAGTGTGCTCATTGTGTTTTTTGGGGGTCATTTACATCAAGCAAAGTAGTGTCTCTTTTTCTTGAGTTCTAATAGATATGTTTGGCTTCGTACCTTGAAAACACAGGTGTGGATCAGAGAAACCAATTCTTAGTTCATAACTGGATGTATTTTCTTTTTTTCTCAGTATAACCCTCAGTTTGGTGATGCCTTTTGGAACAGTAGTAAATACAATATGGTGAGCTACCTGCTTCGAATAATGACCAGCTGGGCTATCGTCTGTGATGTGTGGTACATGCCTTCCATGACCAGAGAGGTATTCCATAGATAACAGCAAGTCTTTGTGCTTTAGCTTATCAGATAAAGGCTGAGAAAACATTTACCTGAAAACCTGGGTGTATCCCTTTTTCACATCAGCTAAAGGTGGACTGCCTTCCTGCTTTCTCAGAAATGAGTCATTTTTAAAAAATGTGTTTATCACCTCAGTTCTGACTCATGGCAACTACTGGTGCATCAGAATAGAACTGTGTTCCATAGGGTTTTCAATGGCAGATTTTTCAGAAGTAATCACCAAGGTTTTCTTCTGAAGTGCTTCTGGGTAGACTCAAACCTCTAACCTTTTGGTTAGCAACTTGAGCACATTAATTGTTTGTACCTCCCAGAGACTCCAATAATGTATTTCATAGTCTTCAAGTTAAGCCATTTTACAGTTAGAAATTCTTTTCAATAATAGTTTTTACTATTGTTCTTGGTTCACTGAAGCTACAGATACTGTGGAATGTTTTATCTTGGGTAAGACTAATAAAGAGCACAAAAAAATATGCATATGGTAAAAAAATAATACAGCACTGTATTTTCTTTTCTTTTCAAATTATAGTTTGGGTGAAACTGTACAGAGCAAATTCTTTTTCTCTTGAATAGTTCATACACATTTTGTTTTGTGAGATTATTTGCAATTCCCATGATGTAATAGCTGTCTTACCACTTCCTTCCTGTGGTTACTTTTTCCCTGTGTCCTTCTTTCCTATGCATTCCTGCCCTCTGGGTGATCTCCTGCTCAAATGCTGCCTTTCTGGTCTCCCATGGTTGATTATTCTATGGACTGTACCTACCTGATATAATACAATTGTTCACCTCGTAGACCTCTCTGTTGTTTGGCTGGAAGCCAGAGGAGTGAGTTCAATTCCAGGCCTAAAGGGTAACTAGAGCCCATAGTCTTGGAGGTTTCACCAGGCTCCGTCAGACCAGTAAGCCTGGTCTTTTATATGATTTTGAGTTTTGTTTCACATTTTTCTCCCACTCTATCCAGGATCTCCTATTTTGATCCTTTCTGAGGTGTTAGCAGTGGTAGCTAGATACCATTTAGTTCTTCTGGTCTCAGGGTCATGCAGGCTGAGGTTCCCATGGTCCACTAGTCCCTTGGACTTATTCCATGTGTCTTAGATTGTCTTCACTCTACTTTGGTCTGGATGAGGAGAGACCAACTGCTGCATCTTAAATGGCCACTCACAAGCTTTTAAGACACAGTTGCTATTCACCAAAGCAGAGTATAGAACAATGTTTTTGTATAGTATATCATTATGCCAATTGAGCTTGGTATCACTGGTGATCCTGGTCCCAAGTGTGCAGGCCCAGCAGTTGAGCAATCTACTTCTGTAGTGATACTGGCTTGGAAACCCAAGGAGGGGTTGCTATTAGTTGGATCTGATTTGATGGCAGTGAGTTTGGTTTTGTTAATAAGGGGCTAAGAAGTTATCATAACTTTGCCCCGTAGTAGCTGTATTTTATGTATGGAAAATCTTATGGCGCATACAAATACATATGTAGAAATATTGTCCTGCCAACTTTTGTATTCCCTTTTGCCTATCCATACCTGATCATTTTGCCTGTCTACCTACGTATCCACCCATAGATTAATGTTTGTTATTACTGATAATGCAGTATTGTGTATGCAAAAGCATTCATCTTTGTTGTCTGTACCTATTGTGCACCTATCTGTGTCTTTCTTTTCATGAGTGATTTTGTGCTAGTCATTTGCTTTTGGTATATTGCCTTCACCCAGATCAAGGTGTGTCTCTTACCTGTCTAACAATCCCCTATGCCCCACACTTGCTTCTCTCCCTGGTAACTGATAAAGAAAGTTTATTTACATATACATAAATATGTACAAGGTTGATATCAATATATAAATCTTTCCTGGACTTTTTTACAATAGTGGACTCAGACAATATTTGTCCTTCTGTGAATAATTTATTTCACTCAGCATAATGTACTCCAAAATGTACTCCAAGTGTATCCATGTTACAAGGTGTTTCACAGATTCATTACTCTTTAGTGTTGCATTGTATTCCATTGCCAGTATGTACCATAGTTTGGTTATCCATTTTTCTGTTGATGGACACTTAGATTGTTTCCATCTCCACTAGTGCTGTGATGAATGTGTGTGTGCATATATCTCTATTCATGCTCCAGCTCTCACTTCCTTGCTTTTTTTTTTTTTCTAATTGTGATTTGGATGAAAGTTTACAGAGCAAATTCTCTTTCCATATAGCAGTTCACATACACTTTGTCTCATGACATTGACTACAATTTACCCCAATGCAACAGCTCCCCTCCCACTTCCTCTCAATAGTTACCTCTTCCCTGTGTCCATCCCTCCATGTACTCCTGCCCCCTGAGCTGAGCTGTCTCCCTGTGCATAAACAACCCCTTTTCTCCCATGGTTGTTCTCTGCAAGGGGTGTATCTACCTCAGGTAAATGTTCACCTCATATGCCTGTCTTTTGTTTGGCTGGAAGCCACAGGTGTGGGTTCAATTCCAGAACTGAAGGGCAGCTAGGAGCCATAGTCTCAGTGGTTCCACCAGGCTCTATCAGACCAGCAAACCTGGTACCCCCCTTTTTATTTCCTAAATGATTTTGAGTTTTGTACCACATTGTTCTACCTCTCTATCTAGGATCTCCTACATAGATCCCCCCTCTGAGTGGTTGACAGTGGTAGCCAGGCACCATCTAGTTCTTCTGGTTTCATAGTATATAGGCTGAGGATCGCATGGTGTACCAGTTGCTTGGACTAATTGTTTCCATGAATCTTTGGTTTTCTTCATTCTTCTTTGCTCTGGATGAGAAGATACCCATCATTGCATCTAGATGGCTGCTTGTAAGCTTTTAAGATCCCAGTTACTACTCGCCAAAGTAGGAGGTGGAACAATGTTTTGTGTAGTATGTTATGCCAATTGAACTTGATGTCCCCTGCTCCTGCCCAACTCTCACTTCTTTAAGATGCACTGTATTTGCTTAATAGGACAAATGATATTTGCTATGATTGACCTGGAACAGAAACTATTTGTGTTAAAGTTTTGAATCTTATTTTTAAATAAATATAAATAATTAAAAGGTATTTTAAGGTATTATTTAAAAGCTCTATATACAGGTTGTAATTGTAATTTTCCTTATTTATTTCAGGAAGGAGAAGATGCAGTCCAGTTTGCTAATAGGGTTAAGTCTGCTATTGCTGTACAAGGAGGATTGACTGAACTTCCCTGGTAAGAAATTTTTTCAGAAGTACTATCACTTTTTTTAAAAAATTAAAAATGAAGTTACCTTTAATATTGCCATATATTGTACTGAGTACTTTTGGGTTAGCTCATAGTTATAGGGACTTGTATAAAACAGCAATGACTTAAATAAGATACAGGCTTATCACTCTTACTTACATGTGGGCAATTGAGGCTGATCTAACAGTGCATTCTTTGTTGCTTCATCATCTTCTACATGTGTCTACTTCATGGCCCAAGATGGTCCAACTCGACCTGTTATGTGCAAGAAGGACACACTCATTTCTTTTAGAGCACACACTGAAATTGGACATGCCACCTCCACTTATAAACATTGAGTAACTCAAATCGTGTTGTAATAACTAGCTACAAAGGCTGGGGAATGTAGTCTTTGTTCTAGGCAACCATGTGCTTGACTAAATATATCTGGAAAGATGCCTATACTTCTAGATATATTTGTGATTCACCCTTTGGGTATGAATTAACATGTCTAGATTGCTTTGTTTCCTAGATCAAATATGAATTGCTTGTGTGTTCTTAGAATGGATGTTCCTTAAATATCAGGATCTGCTACCATTGCAAAGGGGAATTGGGTAACTTTGAAGTCTGTAGGTGGAGTGCTAGAGTAGCATGAAGTCCACTGGGTGTTTAGAAAGGAGAATTATAAAAAAATGATGTCAAGATACTCAAAGACAAACATTTTTTTCTTTTTTCTTTTTTCAAATTGTGATTTGGGTGAAAATTTACAGAGCAAATTCACTTTCCATACAGCAGTTCACATATACTTTGTCTCATGATGTTGACTCCAATTTACCACAATACAACAGCTCCCCTCCCACTTCTTCCCAAAAGTTACCTCTTCCCAGTGTCCATCCTTCCATGGATTCCTTCCCACTGAGCTGTCTCCCTGTGCATAAACAGCCCTTCTTTCTCCCATGATTGTTCTCTCCAAGGAGTGTATCTACCTGAGGTAAATATTCAACTCATATGCCTGTCTTTTGTTTGGCTGGAAGCCACAAGTGTGGGTTCAAATCCAGACCTGATGGATGGCTAGGGGCCGTAGTCTTAGTGGTTCCACAAAGCTCTATCAGACCAGCAAACCTGGTCCCCCCCCTTTTTTTTTTCTAAATGATTTTGAGTTTTGTTCCACATTATTCTCCCTCTCTATCCAAGATCTCCTACGTAGATCCCCTTCCGAGTGGTTGACAGTGGTAGTCGGGCACCATCTAGCTCTTCTGGTCTCATAGTCATATAGGCTGTGGATCGCATGGTGTACCAGTCACTAGGACTATTGTTTCCATGAATCTTTGGTTTTCTTCATTCTTCTTTCCTTAGATGAGGAGAGACCCATCATTGCATCTAGATGGCTGCTTACAAGCTTTTAAGTTCCCAGTCGCTACTCGCCAAAGTAGGAGGTGGAACAATGTTTTGTGTACTATGTTATGCCAATTCAGCTTGATGTCCCTTGTGACTATGGTCCCAATCCCACAGGTTCAACTACTTGGTCCCTCTGGGTAGCTGGCTGTGACCAAGAAGCAACTACAACCTTGTCCCTTGTCAGCTCTACTATACACCTGGAAATTCTTACATATCATACAAATACACTTATAGGACCATTGTCTGCCAACCCTATACATGGTCTTGGGTACACTCCCTGCTTCGTAGACATATCTGATTCTTCAGCCTGATCAAAGACAAACATTACTAATTTCAACATTTTGCTGGTTTGGGGCCTGGACTTAGGAAAGAAATAAAGGCCATTATTCTTGTCTCTCACTCCCTTCCTTAGTTCTTGAGATTCACAATTCATGTAAATGCTATGAAACCATTAGAGGTAGTTTATTTGGATGATAAAGGCTTTTATGGAGAAGGAGCTCTGGTTGCATAGTGGTTAATGTATTCAGCTACTATCCATAAGGTTGGTGGTTGGAACCCACCAGCTGCTGTGCAGGAGAAAGATGTAGCAGTTTGCTTCAGTCAAGACTGCAGCCTTGGAAACCCTATGGGACAGTTCTACTCCATCGTGTAGGGTCCCTGTGAGTTGGAATGGGCTTGATGGCAACAGGTTTCGGGTTTAACAAATTTATGGAGTTCCTGGGTGGTGCAAACAGTTAACATGCTTGGCTGCTAAGTCACATGCTCAGGTGGAGGTTTAAGTCCACCCAGAGTCACTAAAAAAACATAGTTTGTTGTTTTCTTAACACACATGGGATCTCCATAAGTCAGAGCTGATCCTCTCAATGGTAAATGGTTGTAGCTAACCAGAATTTGTAACCTTGTTTCATGAAAATTCCATATAACTGATCCCTTGGAAAATTTGTGGTTAAATTTTAAGATGAGGACTTAACTGATGAGCTGTGCCTTGGCTTCTACTCTAGTGGCCTGAGCATTGCAGTAGTCCGGGGCAGACATCTGTATATAGGTCAAATTTTGTCCTCATGACATTGAGTTCACCATCTAACCTATGATCTATTCATCGTCATCAGAAAGCACTTGGTAAACACTTAACTGGGTTAAAATTAAACAGGCCACAGTATAAAGTAATAAGGTTCTCAGCCCCCCTGTCCTAGATATTAAAATATGAAACATTAGATTAGGAGGTTGATTGTGGCCCCTGGTAGTCCTGTCTCCCCCTTGCTCTTCCAGTTTGTTGTCTCTTTATGTAGTCCAAAGAAGGAAAGGCACATAAAGTCCTTACAACCAAAGCAGGTTTGTGTTTTTACCACCCTGGAGAAAGTTCAAAAATTTGCAAGCTCTGAATTAAGGAATACCGCTTACATAGCACTAACTACTGGTTGAATGGAGGTTATAGTTTTGTTGTTTGTTTTATTTGGCATCTGTTGTGGAATAGGAAGATTATAAACACCTGAAATGAAGTGCTTTGGATGAAAACACAACTTGTGAGAGATATGATTAGAGTTGAATAATGGTTAACCCATTCTTCTTTAAGGAATTTATCTTCACCAGTTCTTGTGTGTGTAGTTTTAATTTTCCCTGTGGTTTTCCAGTAAGATTAGTTAGATAAAAAATTAGTATTTTGCTTTCTTAAATAAAATATATAGGTTGTTGTTGTTGTTGTAGTTATGTGCTGTGGAGTCGGAACCGACTCATAGCGACCCCTCCTTGGGTTTCTGAGGCAGTATCACTGTGGAAGTAGATTGCTCAACCTTGCTTCCAAGGAGTGAAAATATATAGGTAAACAATCCTAATTTTAACACAATGTTCAAATTTTGAATACAATAGTCTTAACTTCTAAAACCTAGTCCCTAAGTGGTGCAAATGTTTAATGTGCTTAGCTGCTAATCTAAAGGTTAGAGGTTCAAGTCCACACAGAGGTACCTTGGAAGAAAGGCCTGGGGATCTACTCCCAGTAAATCAGCCATTGAAAGTGGTGTGGAGAACAGTTCTACTTTAATACATGGGCTCACCATGAGTTAGAATTGACTCCATGGCAACTAGTCAAACTTCTAAAAAGAAACTATTAGTATTTTAACAAAGATCAGAGAGATTGTTAGTTCCCCAGATGGTCCACAGGTAAGTAGATAGAATAGAGACCCAAATTTGGCTTGTTCTGCCTCTAAATCCAGTTATTCCTTACTCTTTAATATCATAGCACAGTGCAGCCTGTATTAATATGTAACCGTTTTAAACCATTGCTGAGGAGTATCTTTTCTATATTTGCCTTTTCCTTTCCAGGGACGGAGGGCTGAAAAGAGCAAAGGTGAAGGACACGTTTAAGGAAGAGCAGCAGAAGAATTACAGCAAGATGATTGTGGGCAATGGGTCTCTCAACTCCCAATTGAACTGACCATCACCCTGTAGATAACATGGCTTCCTAGAATGAGTGTTTAGAAATGGAATTTTTTTTTTGGGGGGGGCAGTAGTGTTTTGATTTATTGTTTTTATATTTTATCATTAATATTGTCCACAGGATGATTGTCTCTACCTCTCTGTGCTGAGGCAGAACCCATAGGTGCCCTTTTTGGCTTTTGTTGTTGTTATAGCATTAGCCTCATGAATGGTAAGGTTGTTGCCTGGGTTAAAACAATTCTGCCTTTGGAAAAACGATGAGTCACTGTGGATGGAATGAAGTATTTGTACAGGAAAAAATATTTCTAAAGGATGTGGAACTCGTTAATATGGTAATTTAAAAAAAATCTCAAACTCTCTTTTCATAATTAGTTCTCCCCCTGTCTTAGCCCCACTTTCTTAGATCATAAGCAGTACAATGACACCACTCTTTGAGGTATGGTTATATTCTACTGCAGGGTTCAAAGGAAAAATGGAGGATTGTATTAGGAGAAATGACAATGTTGTAACTACCTAATCCAAAAGTCAAAAAGAAAATGTAAATATTTTTTGCTAGTATATTGGAAGAGAAATACTATTTGGTAAACTTCACCAAAGAAAAGTGAGTTGAAGTGCGTGTATGTGTGCACTTACATGGAGGAAATTCACAGACACATTTTAGACACCAACTACTGATGCATAAATTTTAGACAGCAACTAGTTTTCCTTGTTTGTATGCTAAAGACCTATAACCTAGTTTTCCTCCCATCTACTGATATATGTATGTGTGTGTGTATATATAGCAACCAAACACATTTTCAAAGAGGAGGAGCCTTTGACAATAAATTACATTGAGTGTCTTCAGTGGGAATATGAATGAGTGTGCGTGTGGCACTGCCCTCCCCTTAACCACCCCTTTGTTGTTTGTTCCAGAACTTTTCTGGCCTTTTAAACAGAAAAATAAGTGATAAAATTACCTTTTGAAAACTGAGCCTTAAATTTTTTAAAGGGAGAAATAAGTGTTTCCCTACTCAGACAGCATAGCAATGTTTGATAGCAATATAATACCATCATAAACTCTCAGAGTATTATATATCTCTGTAACCATGTACAGAATGTGAAACTGTCTTACAGTGAATATTAATAAATTTTATATTTCTAAATGTGTGTTGCATTGTTTAAACCCTCCCCTTCACCTTCTTCTGCTTTTGAGTAAGCTAAATTCTTTTTATTACAAATAAGGATTATTTGTTTTTCATTTGAATGCCATAGTTAGACTTTATTGGACTGGAACACCTGGGAAAAGAGAACATGAAACCCTGTTTTGTTTTGTTTTTAGAAGAGTTATCTAGACTATGGCTCTGTGGACTCTGCCTTGAACAAAATTACAGACTTCACTTATTTTTGCAGATGAACTTGGGCATCTATATATTCAGTGAGTTATAGTTAGACTGGGCATAGCACCATCAAGAACATGTTCTTCTTATCTCACTAGATGGATTTAACTACAAATAGCAATTTGCAAATGGATTGCCCTATGATTAGGTATACTTCTGTAATCACACCCTCCTTTCCCTTTGTTGTTGCTTTAAGCTTTGAGCTAAAATCTCTATTGGAAGTGATCTTGACTGAAAATCAGCACATCTATATATGAATCTAGCCTTCAGTATGGATTATACCTCAACATAAAGAAAGGTCTTCACAACTGGACCAATAAGCAACTTTATGATAAAAAGAGAAAAGATTGAAGTTGTCATGGATTTCATTTTACTTGGCTCCACAATCAATCTCCATGGAAGTACCAGCCAAGAAATCAAACAACACACTGCATCAGGCAAAGATAGTGCAAAAAGACCTCTTTAAAGTGTTTAAAAGCAAAGATGTCACTTTGAGGACAAAGGCACACCTGACCCAAGCCATAGTATTTTTAATAGCCTCATATGCATATGAAAACTGAACAATAAATAAGGAAGACTGAAGAATTTATGCACTATCCCACCGACTGCCAGAAGAATGAACAAATCTGTGTTGGAAAAAGTGTAGCCAGAATGCTCCTTAGAAGGATGGCAATGATCCCTCTCTCATACTTTGGTCATGTTACCAGGAATGACCAGTCCCTGGAGAAGAACATCATGCTTGGTAAAGTGACGGTCAGGAAAAAAAAGAGGAAGCCCCTCAATGACATGGATTGTGGCTACAACAATGGGCTCAAACATAGCGAAGGTTGTGAGGATGGCACGGGACTGGGCAATGTTTTGTTGTGTTGTATATAGAATTGCTATGAGTCAAAACCAACTTCACTACATCTAAAAACAACAAAAATAAGAATGTTAGAGTGACTTTGTTTTCTCAGAGTTTTCTCTCTCTCTCTTTAACTTTTCATATTCAATATTGTCTGACTTAACAAATCCAGTTCTCAAAATTAGTAAAGCCTGATTCTCAGAAAAACTGATAGAGCAGCTAATCTCTGGGATATTCGGACACAGATAAAATGTATATCTCTAAAAGCATCATGAACACAACAATGCTAATATGTATTCACTAGCTAATCTCATACTATCTGAATCAGAACTTTTGTCTTTTAGGTCTTTGTGTTAGTTAAGGTTATGTGGCAACTTGGCTGGCCCAGTTTTGAGTGGCTGGGCAGCTGGATGTAGTTATTGCCCATAATGAGATTGGTAATCAACTCCAGGTGTAATCTACTGGAGCAGCTGAGTAGCTGCCTTAGTGATGTGATCTGCTTCCAGTATACAAGGAGAACCATTGAGAAACGTCTGTAGTTTTTGGCACACTCGAATCCTGCATGTAGCCAAGTCGTTATTCAGCAGCCTGCCATATTGTCTGCTGTTCTTGGGACTGTTAATGGACTTGAATCAGTGGCCTGGTGTGTAATATTGGGACTGTGCCTTTTTATTTGTTGACCTTAGGTTTGTCAGCCTCAGCAGCCAGCAGCTGCCTGAGTGAAGAAAGCCTCCAGCTTCAGTGGGCTGGGTGCAAGAGACAGAGGTGAAGCCCAAGGTCAAAGAGCTTTCACCCAGCCCCTAGAACGTGGCACTTTGAACTCAGACTTCTAGCTTCCAAAACTGTAAGAGAATAAACTCCAGTTTGTTAAAGTCACCCCTTTGTGGTATTTTCTGTTGATTAACTGTTCCATCTTTAATAGAATAGCATCAACACTGGCAAATGGCTACCTAGCTAGGGCTATGTTACTCTTGCATGTAGGTGGAGCCATTAACTGGTTCTCACCAATGAAATGTGAGTGGAAGTCATGTAGTTTACTTTCAAGTGAGGTTGTTAAGATGTAAGATTACTTTTTCCACCCTACCTTTACAAGCTGGAGGCAGACTCCAAGACCCCACAATCTACTGGATCCTCAGACAAAGTCTGGGTTTTTCAATCATGTCATGGAGGGAAGCTTCTCACTAACCAGGAATACCTGCATTACACTGTTCCACTACTAAGAAATAAACCTTTGTTGTGCTAAGTCACTAACATTTTGGGGCTTATGTGTTTTAGCAACTATTGTTTCCTTAACTAAAGTATCAGTTTTATTATCCAAAAAATAGTGATAAACTTGGGATTTAATGAAGAATCTCTTTGAAATACTTTTAAAATAGTGAAATATTATCCTAACATGAGAGAGGGTAGGAAAAGGAAGAATCCACAGAACAGTCGTCATTGTTTCATTTAATCCTCCCAGGAATACTGAGAACGGTGTAGTTAGGCTTATTTTATAAAAGAGTGACTGGGGCTTACCCAGGTTAATTTACTTAATTTTTAAAAAGGTTTGAAAACCTTAGTGGGAGAATATACAAAGTGACTTCAGATTGACATTGTCACAAAAAATCATATGAAGCAAATTTAAAAAAAAAAAATAATAATAATAAAAAGCCTAGTTGCTGTTGAGTTGATTCTGACTCATGGTAACACCATGTGTGTCCGAGTAGAATTGCACTCTGGAGTTCTCAATGGCTGATCTTTCAGAAGTAGATCTCCTGGCCTTTCTTCCAAGGTAACTCTGGGCGGGTTTGAACCATCAGTCTTTCAGTCGGTGGCTTCACTGTTTGCCCCACCCAGGAAACTCCATGAAATAACTAGGGAAGACTTATATCTTCATTTTAAGGGAATAAAATAAAACACGGTGGTTATAGATTTAAGTCATTCTGAATGAGTGACAAGGGTAGAAATAGAACTTTTGATTTTCAATCCAAGAGTTTCCACAACATCATGTCAAACATTCAGAGGGGCAGAAGGTGGTGCAAAAAGCAGGGAGAGTTGCTGTTGTTGTTGTCGTTGTTATGTGCCATCAAGTCAGACCCAACTCATAGCGACCCCTCCTTGGGTTTCTGAGGCAGGGTCACTATGGAAGTAGATCGCCCCATCTTCCTTCCGCAGAGTGGCTGGTGGGTTTGAACCGCCAGCCTTTTGGTTAACAGTAGGTAGTACAAAAAGCAGGGGTGTTGAAGGAAGGTGTATTCCTTTGAATATGAGCACACAAATGTGATGATTTCAGGGCTGTCCCTGTGGAGTTGAGTCAAATGCAGTCATTATGCAGAGGCTGTGTATTTGATTGTCAGTACATTGAAAAGAAACATGGCTGCATATTACATATGTGCTAGTTAAATTAAAAGATTTATGTTCATTTATTTTGAGGTGATCGTTGAAATACCTTCACTGTGAGTAATGGAACTTTCTGCTTTTGGCATTGCTGAAAGCCATTCACTTAGCCACATATGTTGTCGGTGAAATTTCCCACATGCTTCATGAAGTATTTCTCTTCTCCAGATGGCCTGTGTAAAGACCAGTTGTTCTTCCAAATCAATTTACAGTTATGACAAATGTGCTATCTCTCTAAATTAGAAGAGAGTTCTTTCTTGGAAAAAGAAATGGTTGCTGCCATTCAAAAGGGAGTGTATAATTATTTTGTAGTGGAAAATGGACACTGAACTATATTCAAAGATTGAAAATTGATGGGATTGGAGTTTAGAAAAATTAATAGTACAAATCTGTTGCTTTTAT